AAGATTGGTGTCCTTATAAGAAGGTGAGGTTTGGATACACAGACGCAGAGAAGAAGGGCCCACAGAGAAAGAAGGACCCACGTGATGATAGAGGTGGAGATTGGAGCGAGTGATGCATCTGTGAAGACAGCCAGGGATTGTGACAACCACCAGAAGCTGGAAGAGGCAGGGGAGAAATCTCTGCAGGCTCCAGAGGGAGCCTGGCTTGCAACATCTAGATTTATTCCAAGGCTGAAGTGTAGTGGTGAAATCTCCGCTTACTCCAACCTCTGCCTCCTGGGTGCAAGCGATTCTCCTGCCTCAGCCTCCCAAGGAGGAGCTGAGACTACTGACACCTGCCACCATGCCCAGCTTATTTTTGTATTTTTAGTAGAGACAGGGTTTCACCATGTTGGCCAAACTGGTCTCGAACTCCTGACCTCAGGTGATTTACCCGCCTCAGCCTCCCAAAGTGTGAGCCACCACGCCTGGCCATATCTTGACTTCTGACTTTCACCCTCCAAGACTGGGAGAGAGTAAATGTCTTCTTTTTGTAGATACCCAGTTTGTGATCATTTGTTACAGCAGACAGGAAACGAATACACTTTTTTTCCTGCCAATTTCTTCCTGTAGTGTGGTTTAGCATCAATGGTGGTAATAGGTCTAGGGAAAAAAGAAGACACACACGCGCATACACATACATACACATACACTCACATGCCCGCACATACACACACATGCACATTAGTCACACACAAAGAGGATAATAAATGAGAACATAAGTCCAAGGTTGTGTAATGCAACATGCTATAAATACTCACTTTGTTCTAACTGAAGGAGCATAACACTACATGGTTAATCTGAAATGAAACTCTGCTGACACAAATGACCTCCATTTGATATACTACCTTCTATATTGGAAAGAGAAATGCACTTTTTGTTTGCCGTTGGCCAAAATCAACTTTGAAAAAGTTCAACTTATTCTAGCTTTTTCCTCTAAGCACTCTCAGACTTGTGACAACATTTAAATGACACCTCTAGGAATAAATCCTGCGTTTATCCTCACAGATATCCATATTGCTTGTTGAAATTATACAATAGAACAATAACCTCAAGTGATGAGTGGCTTCCTCATTTCTAGCCTCTATGTCTTTGAGTGGGACTGAGAATCAAAGTCAAGAGCTGGAGGGCAAAGTCAGAGTTTCCAGTCACTGGAAGGAGATAAAATGTGATCATTTGTCCGAAGCAAAATAGAACTATTTTTTTAAAAACTTCATACGTAATGTGTGGTAGTGAAGGGACCATGAAAAACAGACATTCACATTTTCCTTCCTACTTCACATGCTTTAAATTTTTCCCGAGTTGGAAGTTTCATGATGGGCCAGGGGTAAATGTCCTAAGCAGCTGAGACGATTCCGCAAAGAGAAGTTATTTTACACAGCAGGACACGTGTTGTGGAAAATCAATGTCTTCCAATCATGAAACCTTTTGATTGCCTTGAGGATAAAATTTTAATCGTCTGCAGGGCTTTATGGTGTAATGACTAAATTGGGCAAATTGAGGTTATTTTTAATTGTTTTTCTATAGAGATTTTAACTCCAGAGCATCCTTTTGCCAGATTCATAAATTTTAAGCAGTTTTGGTCTGTGTAGGCAAGAGTTGAGACAGAGATGCAGGGCAGTGTTGAAATACTTAGCAGTCTGCTCAGAACCATTCCAAAGCTAATATTTTTAGAATGAAGTTTTGAAAATGCCTCTCCATCAGAATTCATAATCAGAAACGCCCTTCACAACTATGGGAGCAGGAGATCATCTACTGAGTGGAAAATCCTGGAATAAACACAGATCTTGGGGAGCACAGTTCTGAATACTGATTGCTCTGTGACCATCAGCCTGGCCCAGACCCATCAAAACTGTGTGTGTGTCCCTGGCAGGCCTGGTTTCTCTCGGTCACTAGCCTATTAGCAGGACAGTGCCTGCCTGGTGCCTCCTAGTACAATATAATCTCCTGACTGCAGAGGTAATTGCTTAAAGAAATGAGACTCTACCTGTGAGGGATGCTTGGGTCTCGGCTGGCTCCCAGAACCCCTACATCCTCAGTAAGGAAGGGGTCTGCTGCACTGCAGCAAAACTTGCATGGAAAACAACGGCAATTCAATCAAGAGTGAAGGTGGGATGGGATCCCCGCAGCCAGGGGTCGGGGCTGGATTTGGGCATTTTAAATTCCTAAAATGTGATTCTTGACCTGCAAACCTCTGCGTTCCTCAACTACAATGACAGCCAACAACGCAGAATTTCATAAAAGCTCATTGGAAGTGGCTGCGGATGCAGAAATGCACCATTCAGGTGAATCTTCTAGAAATGACTTGCTGCCCAGTTGGAGGGGCATGTTCAGCTGGCATTTCAAGCCATGCACTTCTTCAGGGTCCACCTCAGTGTGGAGCTCAGGTCATGTTCTTCCTCAGGCAGCACCAGCAATGAGCTAGCAAGGCGGTGCAAGGGCCTGGCTCTTACCACCCAACGCAGGGGTCCTTGAGCGGCAGGATGTGCTTTGCTCCAGATCCTCCTCCAGGCTGGGGAGGCCAGGACCTTGTCGGTCCGCACTACAGTCTGATGTCTCCTCTGCCCCATCCTGCTTCCTCCGCTTCACTCTCACAGCTGTCATCCCAAGCAAACCTCTTCCGTCCTAACTCCATCTCAGCACTCCTTCCCAGAGAACTCAACCAGCTCCGAAGTGATCGATCCTCTGCACAGAGAAGTTACTGAATCCTCAAGGATCTCCAGTGAAAGACAACAAAAGGAGTCAATGTTGGTGACTTAGCGGTAAAAGGAAAGGCATTGCAGAGAGAAAGTGGAAACTGGGTCCATCGATTAACATACTTTAGAAGACAGGAAACAGAAAGGCAATGGATATCATTGTAACATTCGCAGATTCTTTAAGCCCTCTTCTTAGCTTCCCAATAATTGAAACAGTGTGATCTCCCCTTTGTAGATCCTATCTGCTTTATCTTAAATTGTGGTTTTAAGAGCTCAATAATGAAATGTATGTCCGCCAATCTGCAGCTCACGCTCTGTGCTTATACCAGGCCCCTTTAAGATCCTTAAAGTATCAGAACACTTGAACCTGAAGAGGAAAGATTCTACGGAGAGACCAAGAATCAAGAGATGAGCTGAAGAATGGGAGAGGAGGGAAAGACAAGAGGAAAAAAGAGACAAAAATGCATGACCAAGGCAGTAAACAGAGGACAGAAAAATAGTGGAATCTGATTAAAATTCAATGTGATGAGTTGTTGAATGTCTGCTATAAGTAGATGGCAAAGACATCACACACATCTGCATATAGGAAGAAGGAGACTGTCCCTACACACGTCCTTCCCAGCACCATCCTAGACCCAATGGTCCGCTAAACCTTGACCTTGGACCCCATGCCCCACTTCCTTTTGTCTTTGCCCACTGCTCTGACGCTTTGATCACCTTGACACATGGTCCTCACCCGAGCGAGCAGTGTGCACCCCGTTTGGCTCAGAGCACACTCAGGTCCCACACATCCGGGCCTCTCCAGGGGCTGACTCTGACATCTGGTTCCTTCTCCCTGCACCTGGTATTTCTTGCTCCAAACCTGCCAGCTTGCAAAGGGAATGAGCTCTATCTCCTGCAGTGACAAATGAAGCACTAGACGGGCATTTTCTCTCTTTAAGCCTAACCAGATTAATTTTGGGAATGGCATTTGCAGTCTAATTCCTAATGACTGCACAGAAATGGATATTTTTTATTTTCTGATGAAATATTCTACTGCCTCTCTCACAATAATGGCAAAATGAATGAACATGAATGTGATGGATGTAGAGAATCCAACTGTAAGCAAAAGTCCAAGGCTTTTCCCCAGTTCAAACTCTCTCAATTTGAAGGCCTTTTGTTAACATTTTTGTGCAGCCTCCTTTGCACCATGAAGTGGTTGAAATGGATGATCTACCACGACATGACTTCATGACTGTCTAGGGATTTATAAGGTGAGAGAATAGGACAAAGCAACATCTTAGAGCAGGCAGGTTCTTGCTTTTGGTCACTTATGACTGGTGTTAGCATGCAGGGGATGCCAACCTGTCAGGAGCAGGACTCAGAAAGTGGGGCCTCCAAAACACAAACCCACTCTCATGGTGTTGGAGTCCTGGTATTCCAAGGAGACTCAACAACAGTGACATAGTGGCCAACAGAATCTGTGAATTTCAAGTTCCTTTAAAACTTCTCATCTGCCCGTTGGGGTCAGGGCCCTGGCTGCCTGCGGTTGTTCTTGATTTGTTGGAGGTTTTGTGTTTTAATATTTTTTTTTGTTATAAAAGCAGAACAAATTCATTTGTGAAAATGTAAGGAAGAAAAACAGAAGGAAAGAGAGAGAGGAAGAAAGAATGAAAAAAGAAAAAGAAAGGAAGGAAAAAGGGGAAAGAAGAAAGAAAAAAAGAATGAAAGACAGAAAGAAGAAAGAAAGAAAGAAAGAGTAAGAAAGGGAAGGAAGGAAGGGGAAGGGGAAGGGGAAAGAAGAAAGAAAGAAAAGAGAGAGAGAGAAAGAAAGAAAGAAAGAAAGAAAGAAAGAAAGAAAGAAAGAAAGAAAGAAAGAGAAAGAAAGATGAAAGAGAGTAAAAAGGAAGGAAGGAAGGAAAAAGACCCCGCCTAAATGTTCTAGCACCTAAAGCCAACAGTTGGCATCTTGGTATGCTCCGTGCAGTTGGTGTAAGTGCGTGCTTTTTCAAGCACAGTTGTGTGTACAGCTCTGTGCTCTGCTTTTGTTCTGCCACACCACAACACAGCATTTAGAACAGATGACCAAGCAGATGGCTGTGCTCATGGATGGACATGAGGATCACTCAATGCCAGTATCAATCTGCAGAGAATAACCTTGTTTAAATAATAAAATAGTCTTTAAAAAATAAGGAAAGAATCAGTAGACTAGAAAATAAAAATGGAACGAAGTTATGCACATATTTTAGCAAAGGATTTGGCAATCTCTTAGTGTGTTCTTTTCTACAAAAATGCAGAAACGGGGACTGAAATGAACAGCTAAAGCAGGGTAGACATGGAATGGTCTCACCCAGACACAGATTTCTAGGAGCCCACCCCTTGGGCCCTGTCACCGCAGCTTCTGGTGCACGCATCCATCCAGGCTGGTCCACAGTCCCCAGTTCTGGCCTCTAACCCCTGACTTGACAATGTGCTCAGATTCAGATTGAGACAGGCCATGTGTTTCTGGATGCCTGACCCTGCTTCTCAACTGCAGCCATCAGCTTCCCCTGGGCTGGGTCCACCTGTGGCCCCAGGGCCCACCGTTGGCTCAGAGGAGGGGGTGTGTATCATCTGAGCCAACCAAGCTTATGTGGGGGCTCCCCTGTCTTACCTGTTCTTGGTCTTGGGATTTGCCTGCATACCTGGACACTTAACCCAGTTCACAGAGGCCTTTCCCACAGCACCCTAAGCCTGAGCCCAGCCCTGCCCACTGTGCCTCATGCGCTTTACCTACCAGTCCTCACCTCTGCCTCTCGTCCAGCCCCTCTGCACCGACAGCTCATTCCAATCATGTTCTATCACCTTCCTGAGCCACAATGAGAGCTGTTATAACTCGAGGGACTTAATCATATCACAGAGAAGGGAAAGAACGAAATAGGTGTTCTCAGAGGGGCCATCTTGAAATGTCCCTGACAAGCTGTTGGATGCAGCTCTCTCGTCTCAAAAGCCACTGACGTCACTCCATGTTTCCATTACCTCCCGAAGCTTCCTGACAAAGCCAGATGATTTGATCAGAAGGAGCTGATTCCATTTGTGGTTTTGGCCCAATTCTCCAAACTCCATTTCTTTAAATCATGGGTAGGCACAAACCCCGGGCATGCCAAGTGGGTGTGCCTGGGGAGCTCTGTGCACGTGTCTCTTACGGCACGCCCATGACCAGCCCTGTGTCTGCAACGTCATCTCCAGTCTTGGAATGGGCTGGCATTTGGAGAGGCAGCTGCCTTCCCATGGAAACAAGGCTCCCAGAATGGGAGCCCCATGGGGAGCAGTTCCAAGGTGAGGACGCAGGAGGGCTTCAAGTTGATGGAGGCAAAGCAGATGGTGAGTGAAGCCTCTCTAAGCTCCAGAGAGATGATGGAGCGAGCGTGTTCAGGCATGGCGGAGAGGATGGCGTGGTCAGAAGGGAACCTCAGCAGCCATGATTCCACAGGACCTTCGTGACCTGGCAGGATGGAGCCCAAGGAAGAGGGAAAAGGTGGCCAACTGGAGAGCAAGTCTTCACATCCCCGTCTCCGCTCATTGAGACCTAACAGTGGAGAGGAGGATGAGGGCCTAAGGGAGTTACCCAAAGGGAGGTGCTGGAAGCAAAAAATGGATCCTTTCTTGAGTCTAGCACCAAGCCCAGGTGCATGTATTGTAGATGATGTGATAGGAGCAGCCTGCCGGGGGTGGGGGGACCGTGAGCCAGGTGGGGCCAGCCACGCTCAAGCTTGGTGCTTCTGAGACGCGCTCCCTAGCACCATTAAACTTCTCTCCAACTTCCCTGAGCTTAACGGCTTGTCCAGTTTGTCTTGTGGGTGCTTATGGTGAGAGAATAATTCAGAGAGCTTTCCCAGAGGTTTACAATGGCAGAGCTTCAGACAAGAGAGGCCCGGCCCAGAGGAGCTCCTAATTCTGTTTCATCACACAATTATCAGCAATGACTCCTTTTCCCATATTTCCAACAAAACATCTTGAAGGACTCATATTTCTAAAATTCACCCACCCACAAATCTTAATTACTGCAAAGAATTCCACATTGCACACGCCTCAGACTTAACAAAGAAAAATAAAAGAATCGACAGCACGTATTTGTTTTCTCCTGTTCATTTAACCCTGTCCAAAGGCAGCAGCGTTTTGCTTCACACTGTTGCACTGTGTGTGCCCAAGCTGCTTTGAAGATGTTGGCTGAGCTGGGATTGCTATGAGTCATTGCTCACTCGACAAATTCATTAAAATCCTGCTTTGCCTAAATGTTAGCTGTAACTTGAACCAACTGTTTCATTGAATGTCATGTATTTGGGAGAGGGTGGGGAAAATAAACTGTGATTTATCATTAATTGCTTGAAATGGTTAAAAGTTTATTTCTCTGCTCCTGTTTCTTTTATTTTTTTTTCTTTTCTCACTTAAAATAAAAAATCCATACTAGTATTTTAGAACAAAATGGGCCTACTCCTCTGCTTTGCAGAGAGGATTTTATGGGCCAGAGCTGGCGAGCTTTGCAGGGAGAACTGCAACCCAGAGCTCGCGGGGACCCTCACGGCCAAGGGAGGGTAGCCTGAGCCAGCATGCTCAGGGTGGCAGCACCAAACAGCTCTGTCCTTATTGCCAAGAATTTAGAAGAGAATCAGCAGGTAAAAAGGTGGCGCCTGGGTCCATGTGTGCAGGGCGCCTCCTGTTCAGCCTTCTGAGGTCGTTCCACTTGCCCCGTTCTGGGCTAATTCAAAGCAGCTCTGCCTTCCTCAGGCTTCTCTCCAGAAAAGCATCCTGGGTGGTGTTTTCAGGGGCTCCTTGTGGTTTTCCACCCTGTGGCTGCCCCTACCCTCCCCACCTCCCGCTGTGATCCACATTTGAGAAAAGGCAATCCCACTTGATAGTTTTCCGGAAAATCAGATCAATGGCCCTAAACCAGGAGTGCTTTTCCTGTCTGGCTGAGTGGGAGGGGCAAAAGTTCTCCAGTGCCAGCAGTGCGGAAGTGCAAGGCAGGAAAAAGCATGACTTCCCCAGGCTCCTTGGGGCCCCGTTTCGGCCAGGCCACTGGGTACAAGGGTGACATGGGAGTTAGGAGCAACGCTCATGAGAGAAACTGTTGGGTTCATGACCTGGAGATGCCAGCACAGTTCTACAGCTTGGGATTTCCCAACCCTGGTTCATGCCCCGTTTCTCGGCCACAGTGTTGCTGAGTTTCTAAAGAATCGGGGGGAGGGAACAGGGGCCTCTGTAGCCATCGACGGGCCTCTCCTCACTCTCTCTTGGTCCTTTCAACTTCTGTGTTTTGGTAAAAGTGTCAGTCCTAAAGGAGATATGGATTTTGTCCTCTCCAGGTCCTTTGCCCTTATTGATGATTTATACACAGTACTAACCAGATATCCAAGATGCCTGGTCTGGATGTCTGTGTTCCCCTAAAACTCACTTATTGAATATTACCAACATGATGGTATTAGAAGTGGGGCCTTTGGGAGGTGATGAGGTCATGAGGGCGGGATCCTCATGAATGGGATTAGTGCCCTTATAAAAGGGACCCCAGAGAGTTCCCACACCCCTTCCAGCATGCAAGTACACAATGAGAAAATTGCTATCTGTAAACCAGGAAGGGTCCCTCACCAGAAATGCACTCTGCAGTGTCTTGATCTTAGACTTGTCAGTCTCCAGAACTGTGGAAAATGAATTTGTATTGTTTCTAAGCCACTCAGTTGATGGTGTTTCGCTATGAGAGCCCAAATGACTAAGACACTCCTGCTTGGCATCTTCCCTCCTGGCTTCCGCCTCGTCTCTTTGGGTCTCATCTAGGGTTCTGAACCCCATGTGCTGGGGGCTGCCGTTGAATGTCTCTGGAATCGTGACTCCATATCAAGTTCTGCCTGCAGACTGTGGGCCAGGTACATTGCATGGCCATGGACACCAGCCAGAACCGGCCTGAAAAGAGTAAAACCTGTGAGTGGGCAGCTGGCCCTGCCCTGGGCGGCAGCAGGTACTCAGCTGTTTCCCAGATCACCCAGGTCTGAGCTCCCTCCTGCCAGCCCAGCTTGAAATCTTCACTTCACCTTGAGGCTTTTGTCCAAGCCATGAAAGAATGTCACCTGATGTACCCAGACTAAAACTTTTTTGAATTCAACAGACAACAAAAGCTGGAATTTTGAAAGAACTAGCTCATTACTGTGCATTTTTACGTAAGACGTAGAAAGTAACCTATCAAAATTTTATCCTGTGACCCGTGTTCATTAGCAAAATTAACTACAGTATCCAGAAAACATCGTTTTTCAGTGAAATACGTTTGGAATCACAAGAAAACGTGCCTCCAGTCCTCACACGTGAGGCTCCCTTTGGAAGCTGCCTGTGCAGAAGTCCTAACCTGCATCAGGGTTTACAGTTTTAAGTTTCTTCCTCTACCTACTAATAATGCGGGATTTAATGCTGCTTTTCGGAAGTTTTGTTATTTACAGCTAGACCTCTGCTGTGATGTGTATCACGGTAAATCTCCCATGCTTTTCATATTCCTTGCCAAATCCCTCCACCCCCCAATAATCCAAACCCAAAAGCTGCATCAGAAATTAATAACCATGATCATAAATCAAAGTGAAGGTTTTATCCTTTCATTTTGCATACGACATCATGACTAAATGAGTACCCCCATGCACACAGGACTTATCAAAAAGGGGGAGAAAGCCTTCCTTAATCAAAGGCATATTTCATCTCTGAAAAATTCATCAGAATGTGTTATGGAGTGACTGTGCGTCTTGAAGTTCTCTTTCTGGCACATCTGGAAACTCACATTTTTTTTTCATCATTATATTCAGGAATACAAGTGGATTTGATTTGCATGCATAAAGCAGTTTCTTCATCTCTTATCTTGTGTGCCAGGGAATGAATTCCTGTGATCTATGGTTACAATTACCGAAATACGGATTAAGGGTGCCTGCATTATGCAGATGACTGTTGTGACCGAGAAGCTGCCAGAAATACAGTGCGGGGCTGGAGAACTGTTTCATACGACACTGACCCTTGTCACAGAGTCCTGCCTGCTGCCTGGAATAACAGCTTTCCTGAGTACCTGAACCCAGGCTTTTCTGGGACATGATCAGGAATGGGGCTGACAAGTCACCCTGCTCTTGAAAGCTTTTATTCAAAGCCAGTTGCTGAGATGCCCCCTTCTGAGTCCTGCAGCCCGTCAAACTGAATTCTTCCCTTTTCTCTGGCAGGGTGCTCAGCCACTTGTCTGTAAGTGACACACCTGCCTGCCCGTACCTTACCTTCAGGCTGGATGGTAAGGGCGTCCTTTTCTTGTATATTGGACGAGAGCAGGGCCAACATCTCAGGGGAGCATTTTCATCATTTGTAACTGTGCCCATTTTACCTATTCACAGTATTGGAGTTGGTGCACAATAGTTTGCACCAATGTTTTACACAATATGTTGCACTAAATGGAAAGGCTTGGAGAAAGCAGTTTGTGTGCAGCACCACAAGGTGTGTGAAATGTTGTGGTTGCCACCCCTTCCTCCGAAAGCTGGGCTGCTGGTGTCCACAGAGGCTGGCATCTGTAGGCAACTTTCCTGTCTGCAGCAGGATGACTGCTGAGCTCACACAGAAACTCTAAAGATAACTTCACACTTGAATTCTTCCCTAACGGCAGCTAGATGAGCTTGGAGAAATTCCTTCTACTGTCTTGACCCCCAGTGTCCTCTGCCATGATGATGATTGTGTCTGACCTATTAGTTTCCCATGGCTGCTGTGACTAAGTACCACAAACTGAGTGGCTCAAAACCACAAAAATTGGTTGTACCACTGTTCTTCTGAAGGCCGGAAGTCCAAAATCAAGATGGCGTCAGGGCTACGCACCCTCTAAAACCCATAGAAGAAGAATCTCTCTTGCTTCTTCCAGCTTCTGGTGGCCACAGACATTGCTTGGCTTGTGGCAGCATCACTAGTCTCGACACTGTGTTCTCTGTGTGGACCTCACATGGCCCTGCCTCTGTGTCCAAGGTCCTTATTTTTATAAGGACGCCAGTCCTATTGGGTAAGAGTTCACCCTAATGACCTCATTTTAACCTGATTACCTCTGCCAAGGCCCTATTTCCACATAAAGTCACATTATGAGATATTGGGGTTTAGGACTTCCACATATTTTTGTGGGGAACACAAGTCAACCCCTAACCTAGGAAGTGGGGTCAGAAAGAGAATTAGAGGTGGTGCGCATGGGCAGAGCTAGCTCTGTGCTTGACACAACAATGACTTACTGGTGCCGTTTCTTCTCCCTCCTCCCAGGGTTCCCGGGACAGGCATGTTGGATGTAGCACGGTCACTTCCTTAGCAGCCAAGGTAACTGAGGGGATTGAGGAAGGGCTCCAATTCTGCAGGAAGTAGGCACGCTATGTAAAGAGCTGCAGGCATTGCGACGGGTCCTTTAGCGAGATGTGCAAATTCAGCTCCACATGATCCTTGTTGCATCTGCAGCTGCCCTTGACAAGGCATTCCAGGATGGGAGTTATGTGAGCATCTGGATATGGCACAAAACCTGCTTTCTTTTCAAATCATGGGCAATTATTCTCCCTGAAAAGACCAAGATTATTTATTGTTTTTCAATGAAATGTGAAAAAGAGAAGACTAAATAAAGCGTAACGATTAAAAACTGCCAGAAGGATGAACGTTACACAAGCTAGTTGTTGTTTTGAGCAATTACGGGCTAAAAGTGCATTCCTCTTGAAGACGGTAAGATGACAGTTGCATGCACGCCACACCACGGTCAGGTTGCGTGGGTTTCAGCATAGCTTCCGCTGATCTCACTTAACCCAAATGAACTCATTATCTTTTTAAAAAATTGTTAATAAACAATATTAATACAATGCTCATGGTTCCCATAGACCTCTCCCAGCTTCCACAGAGGACCTAAGGCGTCTGTGAGGTAAGTGGCCCATGTTTCCGATGGTCCATGATACGCGCTTACGTGGGACCTGCATTTTACCACCTCTGAGAAAATCAGGTCTCTTGGCAAATCAAACTGTAATTTCAAATGGCATAAAACACGACCCTTATGCATCTCCCTTTATAACTGAAATGGCTTTTAGGAGCGCTGGCTTCCTGCCCTTCTTCCCGGGAAAGCTTCCAATAAGTTCCTGTAGGGTCCACATGGCTTTACTGCTCAGAGCTGGGAGTGACCTCCGTGGCCAATCCAGTCCCACTGGTAAACCATTGTCAGAGATTGTAGGGTGATCACGGGAGCCTGAAATGAAAATCTTCATTCCAACAGATATTCGCCCAAACTATTATGACATAGCACTACTAAAGGTCTCATTTTGTAGTAATTTCTTTTTGCTTGTTTTATTGAGAAATGATATGGAATCAAAACTGTGGTCCTATGAGAATATTATTGGATTTTTTTTCCCTTTGGCCATCATGAGGAACGTACCATAAAAAATTCTCCACTGTTCAATGTGGAACAGAACTTTGGGAGCCCCCACTCGTTCTTCCTTTGTTCCTACTCTTTCCAGCAGATCCCCTCAGCAGACAACAAGCCGGGAGCTTGGTTTGGGTGCTCAGACCCCAAAATAGATATGCAACCTCCCCACCTAATGGCTCTCTGAGGTGTGTGGGCAAGTCTACACCCAGCAGCACAAAAGGTTCTCTGCACTTTTCCAGAGGAGAGACCATCACCTATCTCTTGAGCAGTTCTCATTCAAGCTCCCACTGGGAAGTGTTTGAAGGACACGGAATCTACAGGTTCTAGAGCTTTCCATGTGATCTATATTCGATGTTCTCTTGTTCCCTCCTCTGCCATTGAGTTGCCCTCTGTCATTAAACCTTCTGCATATGTGTAACAAGGCCATAAGAAAGAGCTTTGAGGACAGTGAAGAAGCCACTGAAGAAGCCACTGTGATAAATGGTATCTCTCTCTCTCTCACACACACACACACACACACACACACATACACACACATACACACATACACACACATACACACATACATACACACACATACACACACATACACACACACACATACACACACATACACACATACACACACAGACACACACAGACACACACATACACACACATACACACACATACACACACACATACACACACAAACACATACACACACATATACACACATACACATACACACACATACACACACATACACACACAGACACATACACACACATACACACACATACACACACAGACACACACACACATACACACACATATACACGCACACATACACACATACACATACACACACACACATACACACACACATACACACACACATACACACACACACACACACCAAGAGGATTTCGCTTCCCTGAGGGACTCATTCATTTTCTCTTCACAAACACTGAAATCCAACAGGATTCCTATTTCTGTTCTTGCTTTGGCTACCAGGGAGATCGAGCCCAGTTTGCATCTAAACTCTGGTGTGGGTGAGACCATACGGTCCCATATAACTTTTCTGTCTTCTTTTTCTCCACAGTTCTGTGATCTTAAATGTCTTTCTTAGATACTAGAAAGCTGAGAAAGCTTAGTTGGTGTTTTCCAAGTTAACCCTCCCTCAATGCTAATGTTCGTTTTCTGCCATTAAAAAGGAAAAGGAATAGCACCTACCTTACTGGGTTGTGGGCTATTCATAATTTAGTCCATATGGTGCCTGGAACACACTGCCTGGAACACGGTGCCTGGAACACGCTGCCTGGAACGCGCTGCCTGGAACACGCTGCCTGGAACACGCTGCCTGGCACACGGTGCCTGAAACGCGCTGCGTGGAACACGGTGCCTGAAACGCGCTGCGTGGAACACGGTGCCTGGAACACGCTGCCTGGAACACGGTGCCTGGAACACGGTGCCTGGAACACGGTGCCTGGAACGCGCTGCCTGGAACGCGGTGCCTGGAACACACTGCCTGGAACACACTGCCTGGAACACGGTGCCTGGAGCACGGTGCCTGGAACGCGCTGCCTGGAACGCGCTGCCTGGAACGCGCTGCCTGGAACACGCTGCCTGGAACACGCTGCCTGGAACACGCTGCCTGGAACACGGTGCCTGGAACGCGCTGCCTGGAACGCGCTGCCTGGAACACGGTGCCTGGAACGCGCTGCCTGGAACACGGTGCCTGGAACACGGTGCCTGGAACGCGCTGCCTGGAACGCGCTGCCTGGAACGCGCTGCCTGGAACGCGCTGCCTGGAACGCGCTGCCTGGAACACGGTGTACACCAAGTTCCTGTTAGCAGCAGCTGTGGGTGCTACCATTATTTTAGTTAGGAAGAAGTGCTAATATGATTAACAATAGGACTCAGTGTGCTGTCAATACTGCCCAAATTGTGGACTGAAATAGTACACAACAGAGAGTGAAGGACAGAGTCCCGCAGAAAGCCTGGGGGCTGCTCCCTAATTGGTGAACATTTGGCCCCCAGTAAGCCCCTAATCCCTTACCAACTCAGCGGGATCACTCAGTGCTACATCCAAAGGACATCATGAGAAACTTTTCAAAAAACGTTGCTTCCATCCAGGTATGTTATGTCTACAGAAGGCCTCAGCCCTGCAAGTCCAATTTCCCTGTCAAAACAAGGAAATGAAGCTAATCTTGCATGATTGGCCCTCACTGAACTCCCGCTGGCTTCAGATGATCACCTTCCCTCTCCGGGGCTCTATAAAGCATCCACTTGAAAGTCGTTTCTTTCAAAACTCTTCCCATGGATCCAGCTCCTAGGTCTGTTGCTGGAGGAGGCCCTTCCCTTCTTCCTTGCATGGAAAGTGTTATGTCAGAGTTTTCACACAAGCCACACACCTTGCAGAAATAACGACCGCATAGGTGTAGTTGCCTAAAATGGGGCCAGCACTACTGCAAGATGACTTCCACGCTAATTATCTGAACAATTCTCCAGTTGTTCAAAATAATATGCTGTCTCCACCTTCCATGCTAGAGGAGAGGGGAGCAGGAGTTTTTCATAATAGTGATTTTTTAAAAAAAAAATCTTCTTGGATGTGGCTTTTTAAAAGACTTAGGGCTTGGGCCGGGCACGGTGGCTCACGCCTGTAATCCCAGCACTTTGGGAGGCCGAGGTGGGTGGATCATGAGGTCAACAGATCGAGACCATCCTGGTCAACATGGTGAAACCCCGTCTCTACTAAAAATACAAAAAATTAGCTGGGCACGGTGGTGCATGCCTGTAATCCCAGCTACTCAGGAGGCTGAGGCAGGAGAATTGCCTGAACCCAGGAGGCGGAGGTTGCGGTGAGCCGAGATCGTGAGCCTGGGTAACAAGATTGAAACTCCGTCTCAATTAAAAAAAAAAAAAAAAGACTTAGGGCTTGTATTAGTCTGTTTTCACACTGCTGATAAAGACATACCTGAGGCCGGGAAGAAAAAGAGGTTTACTTGTACTGACAGTTCTATGTGGCTGGGGAGGTCTCAGAATCATAGCAGGAGGCAAAAGGCACTTCTTACATGGTGGCAGCAAGAGAAAAAATGAGGAAGATGCAAAAGCAGAAAACCCTGATAAAACCATCAGATCACGTGAGACCCGCCCACTACCACAAGAATAGTATGGGGGAACCACCATCATGATTCAAATGATCTCCCACTGGGTCTCTCCCACAACACGTGGAAATTATGGGAGTACAATTCAAGATGAGATTTGTATGGGAACACAGCCAAACCATATCAGGGCTTAAGTTTAAATCTGACTGTTTCCAATTCCCTAAGAAGATGTAATACTGGGGCTTAAATTTTTTAAAAGGTCACCATCAAGTTCTTAGCTTCATCCTCACCATCCAGGAGCTGATGATGAGTTGGTGCCACTTCATTGCCCTGACTGCCACCAGAGCAAAGGGAGCTGAGTCCTGGTGGAGACAAGTCCGTGCAACACGGGCTGGTAGCGGAACACAAGGGTTATGTGAGTTATTTGTGGCCTGAGAAATAGAAAACATGAAGACTATCAGGGGAGGATATCTGAGATTTCCATCTGCCCTGCATCCATTTTCCCTTCTTCAAGTAATAGCACCTTGACTTCTTTTCTGGGACCCACCCTCCTCCACTCTTAAACTAGATAGTTCCTCCCAGGAGACCAACCCATCCCTGACTCTAGGGCAAAGGCTAAGAACTAGGCCTGGCCAATGAGATGTCACAGCCGCCCATCCACACTGATTAATTTGGGACATGTGGCACATGACCCAAATCAGCCAGTCATAGTCACAAAGCAACTCTCAAGGGACTTTGGTTGAACTTCCCGTGATAGTCTCTCCTCTGGTTGCAAGCCCAAGCCTTCCATCTTTGGGAGACTGCCTGAGAATAAATTAACACAGACAAAAGCAGAGCCAAGCAGTGTAGACCAACTTCTGACATAATTTTCTGAATATCTGGAACTATTAATAACTTTTTGGAAAGCTAGATTTAGCCCCCACTAAAACTTTCAATCACGTAAGCCAAAATATTCATGTTTTCTTAGGCTGACTGGAGTTATATTTCTGTCTGTTGCATCTAAGAGACCCTTTTTGGATTCTCCACAGAACCTAGAGAGCTTAGACAGAGGCCAGGCAGGCTGAAGACCAATGGCATTGTGGCAGTCACTGGTGATGTTCACCAAATATCTCCAACTCTCCATTTTCCAAGCACATATTAGGATGGCGCTTCCCCGCTCCCTTTGAAGTTAGGTATGGCCACGTGTCTTGCTTTGGCAAATGAAATGAGATCAGAAGGGCACAGTTGCCTTTCAAAGAAACTTTGGAGCAAATATTATTCAACATATTTCTCTTTTCTCTGCCTTTCTATCATGGAACCATAGGAATGGAGCTTCTCTTGGCAGGGTCTGTGAGATAGAGATGAGTCCATGCCCCCAACCAGGCAACATGGACATGTACAAGAAAAGAGTAGAAGAAGCAACAAACAAATAAAAACAAAGTTTTAAATCCCTTGATATTTTGGGCTTGTTTGTTACAGCAGCATAGCTTATCTGTTCCTGACTGATACAAACATCCAGTCATGGGATAATCAGTGACGGCTTTGAAAGAAGTCAGGCAAGGGGGTCCTCTTCCAGGTGGTCTACCAGCTGTGTCTGCCTAAGGCTCTGTGTGAGGGGAGAAATGGGAGGAGGATCTTGAAAATTGGCAGGACCCAGAGGGCCATTAGACAAGGCATGTGAACACATGCGGTTCAAACAAACACATAAAGGAAAGGGTGGGAGGGAAGATTCATATCGGTCGGTAGCCAGGCAACATTGGAAGATATTTGAGAGTAATAGCAACCAAGAGATAACAGAATTGGAATTTGAAAGAAAATGAAAGTGATCACACCCAGAAGAGACAACTGAATAGACTAACGAAATATTCTTGTAATGTACTGTGTGTATTGGTCTGTGAGTCAGAGTCCCAGCTCATCCACTCGCAGGCTGTGCTGGAGCACCATGAGTCCTGGAGAAGGTACTGAAGAGACCATAATTCCAAGACTGTGATTATTGGATTCATCCTGTCCTGCAGGGTGGTGGGGTCCTGGTTGGCTAAGAGAGTTCCAAAGACTATCAAGGCATAAAGTAATGTGTTTTCTTTTGTTTGGAGGAATTCTAAAGTCACTTTTTGGTTTAGTTATCTATTGCTGTACAGCAAATTATCCCCAAAATGTGGCTTCAAGCAATGAACATACCTATTATGTTACCTTTTCTGCGGGACAGGAATTTAGGAGTAGATTGGCTGTGTGCTTCTGGTGCAGGGTCTCTCCTGAAGTTACAGACAACTTGTCGCCGTCTGGGGCTAAGTCCTCTAAAGGCTTGATGGAGGTGGGGAGTCCACTTCCTAACCGTGGCTACTGGCAGGAAGCCTCAGTCCCTGCCGCATAGGTCCTCCACAGAGCTGTTTGAGCATCCTCACAGCATGTCAGTGCATTCCCCCAGAGCCAGTGATCCAAGAGAGAACGAGGAGGAAGTCAGGATGCCTCCTGTGACCCAGTCTCGAGGAAGTTGCAAACCTTCACTTACGTCATCTTCTCTTTGTTAGAAACGATTTGCTAGGTCCCATCCACAGCCAAAGGGAAGGGAATCAAGCTCCATCTCTGGAGGAGAAGAGAAGCAAGGAGGTTGTGGATGTATTCTTAAGCGATCGTACTCATGCATTTTTCTTATCATGGAAGACAGAATAATGGGCTCCAAAGATGCCAACATCTTTTAATCCCTGAAACCTATGAATATGGCATCTCACATGGCAAAAAGTGTCTTTTGACACACTCCAGAGCTGTCAGTAAGATCAGGACCTTGAGATGGAGTCATTATCCTGGATTACTTAGATGGGCTCAGTATAATGACAAAAGCCCTCATAAGAGGGAGGCAGGAGGGTCAGTCAGAGAAAGAGATGTGACCGTGAAAGCAGAGATGGGAGTGATAGAAGGATGAGTCCATCAGCCAAGGTGTGCAGGCAGCGTCTTAAAGCTGGAAAGGCTGGGAATGAGAGCTTGGAGAAGGAACGTAGGGGTCAGAGGAGAAATGTGTGTTGTTTTTAAGCCACTGAGTTTGCAGTAATTTGTTACAGCAGCAATTGAAAACAAAGACACTGAGTTTTTACTGAATACCTACTCCATGATGAGCATACAGAACCACAGGGGATATAGAGGTGAACAAAAGAAGCAAGAGGAGGGAAATAAACCAGCAAACACATCCGGGTATGAAACAAATCAATGGCTGATTATTTCCGTAAAGGCAATCACACCAGCTGGTATGACTCAGCCACTGCGGGTAGGTGGGAAGCGACTGTTTGGGACAGGATGGTCAGAGGCAGACCCTCTGGGGGACGACACCTTGCAAATATCACAGAAGGGGGCCCAGAAGGAGGAGACAGCAGTGCAATGTTCCAGAGGCAAAAATGATCTTGGCATATTCCAAGGAAAACGGAGTGAACAGCGGGAGATGGGTGGGTGCCGGGCTGAGCAGGGTCAAGTGTCCCGGGGCACTCACGCCCCACGCTGCTCAGGGCAATGGTGTGGGGATCCACAGTGGAAATCCCTGCCGCTGCTGTGTGGATGACGACAATCAGGGCAGAGTGGACACTGGGAGGGGAGTCTGGACGCTGCAGTAAGGGCAGAGGTGAGAGATGGGGGATTAGATGGTGGGCGCGGGGGCAGTCTGCAGAGTGTACAGCAGGGGGGACTTCTTGCCCCATTTTCAGCAATTCCTATGCATAGGGTCTGTTTCTTCAGAGGAAATAGTG